CCCCCCCCCCCCCCCACCCCTCTGAAAAGTGGAGCCCCAACTCCCCGGACGCACGGCGTGACGATCTGCCATCGTCGAGCTACAGACCCCCCCCCCCCCCCCCCCACCCCCAGCTGGGGTCTCGGCTCCAAACTTTTTTCCTTGCGCGTAAAACGACAAAAAGAAGAAGTTGGGTGTTTTTGCGCTTACCTGTGGAGCTCAGCGGGACAAAAAAAGTGGAGCAGTGGAGTCGAGTGAGAGGAGAGGAGAGGAGAGGGAGCCGGTCTGCGGTCGGTGCTCCGGCACAGGCGAAGATAAAAACCCCTCCGAATAGCAGCCCAGGCTCCTCCCTTCAGGACGCGGTGCTGGCGGAGTGCGCGCCCCGCTCCAGTCTGCTGTTTCTGCAGCCAAGCAGCTGCAGGCTCCAGTCTCACGAAGAAGCCTTCCAAAAAAGTTTGCAGAGTCCGGGGTGAAATATGAGCTGTGTCAAAAAAAGGACTTGTGCGCAAAATCCACAGCGACTGGAAGCAGCGGGCCGGTCTGTGCGTGGCACACCCGGGGCCTCCGGGAGAGACCCAACCGTCAGGAGGAATCACGTAATGAACATCTTGGACCCGAAAAGGAGAGAGATGCTGGCTCCCGGACAGAATAGGGAGGCCAAAAAAGCTCCAGAACGTGTCTGTGAGAGCACAACAGAGGAGAGACTTTACTGTTTCTGAGCGCCAAACTCATCCAAAACTGATGCTGTTCAACAGAAATGTGCATGTTTTACATGTAAATCTTTCCTTTTAGTGATTTTAGAAATACAGAAATGCACTTCCCAAATATCAGCCATACATTAGGATCAATACACAGGGAAACTGTAGTGAAATACCCTTTTGTACCTTATGTGTGTGTCAACAAATGAAATATATCAGAGCCATTAGGAGGAATTTGAAGGGAAATAGAACCATAATGTGCTTCAGTAACGATGGAAAACATTTAAATAAGACGGGGGCTCCAGTCAAAAAGGCCTGATCTCTTTTAGCCGACTGCTCTGGAGATTTTTGGCAGGTCTTTATCTGGAAATGTCAGAACACAACCCGTACCTTTCCACAGGTCTTCCAACACAGATGATAGCTCATGAGTTATAGGCAAAGGTGGAGAGAAGGGTCGGACATATTCTGTCATTTGGCTGATCCAAAGATCTTTTTGAGTCCTCCAAACGGAACATCCTCGTGAGGCCAAATGTCATTTAAAACACGCCATTGTCCGCCTGGCTTTGGGTCGAGTTAGCTAACCCAGGGCTAAATCTGCCCTTCCTTCGAAGTCAAGCTTTGGCCAGAAGCAAAAACAAGGAGATGATTTTTTTTGACAAATCAGCTTGTCTGGTGTCATCTGCTGCAGTTTAAATGCGAGAAACAGAAAAAAAAACGCCGTACATTGTGTGAGCCAGCAGCTGTGTGCTGACGTCAGGGGAGAGAAACACCTTCAGAACGCATCAGAAACCATAACATCTGCGTATGTCGTTGCTGGTTCCTAAACAGCCAGGAAGAATAAAAAAATACACGCCAAATCAAACCCGGGTCAGAGTTAAAGCAGAATAGTTCACGTTGTGGTTTAGCTTGTAGCCATTGTGCGTCTTTGTGTAGCTGGATCAGGGCCCCTGACATCATTCTACAGAAGGAAAACTAAAACAGGTCAAGCCACACTAATCCATCAGCATTTGACCCAAACCCTGGTTTATCATCCCAGCAGCTTTCAGTATCTCTTCTATGGAAACCTTATCTTCTATATATTCGGTTTGTTTACAGCCCTGAAGGCCATCCCATTCTACCTCATCCACACGACCCCCCATAAAGTCGCCAAATCCCTGATAAAGGACACAGAAATGCCCTCAATCCAGACTAACCCCCCCCACCCCCTCTGTCCCTTCAGCATGAGGCCAGGAAGATCATCCATCACGCCCTAATTGGAGAAACAGTATTTTCGGATTAGGTGATGAATTCCTCCGGCCGCATGCTCCCGCTGACCCTCCGGTTCTCCACAGTTTCCCTGAGGTTGCAGGAAGTTGGGAGGTGACGAACATAAAAGCTGCAGTGTTCCACTTTTCGGGGACGGAGACACTGCTCCGCTTTGTCCTCCACCCCCCCCCCCCCCCCCCACCGTTAAAACAATGAGAACAAAGCCCCGGCTTAAGAGCATTAGGCCACCGATGCAGAAACCAGCACCATATGCACCGCTTTCTGATAACTCTTCGTGGCGTGCACGTGAAATATGGCGTGTGGCGCATATGCTGCTGCGACATTACCGACGAGATGGGGGTGTGTGTGTGTGTGTGGGGGGGGGGGGAAGCCTGTTCAACAAATCTGAAAAAACGTGTTTATGTTCAGTCCTTTAAAACAAACGATGGACGTTAATGATAAAACTGTCATTCTCCCACTCTGATTGGCTTTATGGGGAACATCTGGGCCTCAGACACCCCCCCCCACGTGTTCGTTCGATGGCCCAAAAAAGACGCAGAGCCAGAGGAAAGCTTCTGCTCGGTGA